ACTTTAATAAACCTGATCAATTTAATATAATTTAAAGGTCACCTATCATGCTATATTTAGGCAATAGCATAGGTCTCAGATATATACAAATATATAAAAGCATGTCTATGAAGTGTTTTGCTCAAAATACCAAACAGATCACCCATTCTAGCCATGCCTCATATCCCTCTATTTCACTTCCTGTTTCTAAAGTGCTGATTTGGGGTATAAAGCTTTAAAAGGAGGGGTCTGAGCTCATGCGAGACCCGGCAGCTACTGTCTAAACTAAATACTGCGGTGATGAAACGCCATATCATGGATTATCAAGGATTATCTCTGAAACAGTATGGAGCTCAAAGGCTTTCTCTCTTGCCGGTTATACCACAAGGTGAGTTCCTTTTTACTTCCTGCTTCTTCACACACATGCTCTCCAGTACAGGTTAGCTCTGAGTGTTAGCGATGCTAATGTAAACACCGACCATATTACGTCCAAAACAGTCGGGCATTGTTTCTGATAGCAACGTTTCTGATAGGGCCGTGGAGCCACATTTCAGATATTACGTCATATCGGACGCAAATCTGGATCAGCTCCGTTGTTCCCCCGTTTTTAGAGATTTGGGTACGGAGGAAAAGAGAGAGGGTTTTATTTTCTGACGCTGCTTGAGTTCCCTGACACACCGGGGACACATCTTTAGGTATAAAAGACATCAAAAAGTGCATTCTGCATGATAGGTCCCCTTTAATAAAATCTATTAAATAAGTAAAGGGATAATAAACTCTGACTTTTTTGGTTCTACTTAACTTTGTATTAAACATTTCAAAATAAAAATTCAATTAAAGGCTGTGATATTATTTATAAAAATTATTATTAAAAAGAAACTCTTAATTTTCACTTAACAAAAAATCCACCAGATCATAGGCATAAACATTTTTCGCATAAAAAATAACAATTTTTCTCGAAGAAAACCCAATTTATCTTCACAATTTCAGACTTCAAACCACACACATAACGTTTGATTTCAATCTCATTTTATTTATATTTTTCCAAATGTCCGCACAGGAAGTACAAAGCTTCTGTCGTTTTCCGTCCCTTTCGCTCCGAGGAAAGGACACGAGGCGTACAGTTAGTGCATTCGATCCTAAAACGATGAAAAAATAGATTTGACTAAGAAGAAGTGCTACATAAGGAGATGATGAGGTAAATCTGTCCATGAAAAAGAAACAAACAGATGAACGTATGCAGTGAAAAACAAAAATCCACACATCATTATCATTATTATTATTATTATCATTATATACACATCAGATGCATAGAATACTTTTTTTTACATAAATACCTACTTTTTCTTGTGTTTCCAAAAAAACACCCAAAACAAACTACCGGTAGAATAAAAAGCTGGTTTCTGATGCCGCTGAATTAAAAATCCCGCCCTGAAAAATGTAATATAAGTCCTGAAGGATGCATGATTTCATATTTGTATTCTTGTCAACAAACCGCATTTAAAAAAGTATTGATACGCCACGTAAAATAGTCCCAAAGGCACTATTTCCATCCTTTTTAGGAAATGTTTTAAGCCTTTTTTTAAACAACGGAACTATATATAAGTGTTTATAAGTGTTGATGTAGATGGGCTTGGAGCTGAGAGCCGTGATATTTGTTGACAATAAAAACAATATGAAATATAGTCAGGGTTATACAAACATGTTAGAGGTCAATATTTTTCCATTTGGGGAGATTCTGCAGAAAATACTTTGTGAAAACAAGAAATATCAGGTTCCTCCAACAGGAAGTTTGACTTTTAATTTATAAATTAAACTCCATTTGTTAAATATATTCAGTCTGTGATGTTCTGCTTATTCAATTAAGAGAATAAACGTGTCTTTGTCAACTTGTAACGGAACTACACTTCCCATGATGCTTTGCCAGCTTCGCCTGTGGTTCACTGTGGAGGCATGCAAGTGATTTAAAAACAATGTGATTTAAAAACAAATCGTCATTTTTTGTAGTCAAATAACACAGAAACATTTGGTTAAATCCTAAAAAACGTTTTTTTTTTTGTGACAATTTACGTTATTATAATCATATCATAAATGTGACCAATCATCCCATTCATCAGAAGCTAAATGTGGTTGATTCCATGATTATTTAACAATTTAACAAGTTGACAAAGACAACGTTGTACCTTGCTCTTATCGTAAAACTCAAATTCAGATTCTCCGAGTCTAAAAACGTGACATTTTGCTGCAAATAAAGTTAAAACCCTGCTTTGTGAAGAAGAGGAAGTGAAGAACATCACACCAAGATGCTTTTTGGGCACATGACAGTGTTCAAGGTGGGTTATTATTTCAAATCGTTGCAGATACATGTTACAGAAAACTTTTTCAGTTCCTTCTTCTGTGTTGGAGGAACCATATTTTCCTCTTTTCAGACGTGTTGTTCAGCTGAGCAGACTTCCTGCGAGCCGGCGGCCGTCTGTTGCGGACAGACGCTCAGAAACCAGCTTCTTCTCTCACTTTAATCCTTTCTTTTTTTCCAGGAAACTCTGGCTTTTCGTTTGGCACCAAAAAAAATCCACCGACAGTCAACAGCTGCGTTTGGTTTCCCGTTTATTTTTCGCCTCTCGGAAGCGTTGAGTATCCTCTTTAGTCCAACTCCAAAAGGGAGGTTCAGTGTTTTGTGTTTTTGTAGCCCTCCTTTGTGGCTGATCAGAGTGTCTTCTTTTTTTTATCCTCATCTTTTACAGCAGAGTTTTGACCTCCTGCTGTTTGCATGAGCGTGATGCCTTCAGGGACATCCATCAGTCCTCGGGAAGGTGAGATGTGTATGCATGTTCTGTGTAGATGTGTGTTGTGGGTGTGTTATTCATCTGATAAGAGAATTCAAAACTGTCCAAAAATTAACATTTCATGTCAGAATATTACTGTAATTAAGAGTTTAACAGTTTTTCTGTTTTACATTGTCATATCTTACCAGTTTAGTGAGACATTTAGACACAGTATGAATCTTTTAGCTGAGCCGTAATCAAACTGTAAGTTCATATTTGATACAGATTAATAAACTCATCATTGTTTCCCTGCATGTTTTTTGATTTGCAGAATCACCTGCCTCCACCTGTTGGTTTGTCAGCAGCGTGTTACAACACGGACGCAATATCCTCTGTTATACAAAGATACATTTGGTAACTTTCCAATTGTGTAAGGTATATTTTGAGTCCTGTATAATCCTCCTGCAGGCTTTTGCACGAGGCAAGATCAAATATTAATCTTCGTCCTCACCGCTTTGCCTTACTGGCACACTAAGGTTGGCATGTGGTGTGTTCAGGGTCCGCCTTTTACAAAAGTATGTTGTCCCTTTAATTCCAACATTGAATTTTAAATAGTCAGGAGATTTAGCGCTCATTATTTAGACCATATGTGTTGTTTTTTATTTATGCAAATGTTAGTAGTTCAATGTATTTCTCATTGCAGTAGTTGTAGTTATATTCTACCAACATTCCTGCAACAGTTAAGGCTTAAATTAGTACATTTTTGGCCAAATGACTGCATGTTTTATGCACCTAATAGACTAACTAAAAATTAGCTGATACAATGTCATTGTATTCGGTCTAGCTGTGGATCTAAAAGCTTTTTAAACTTGAAAAAGTCGCCTGAACACACTTTTGGATGTCTGACACTAACCAGTATGACTGTGTGTGTATATGTGTGTGTTTATGTGTGTATGTGTGTGTTCATGTGTGTGTGTCTGCAGCCTAGTCCTCGCTGAGCACGTCCACGTCCTCCCCCCCGCCCCCCGGCTGGTGTGTGGCCGCCCTCCAGCGATTGATGTGTTGACTGCCCTTCCTCTTCTGCAGCGCTTCAGGAGACTCTTCCTCCAACTTCTGACGCTTGTGCTTCGTCCTGCGGTTCTGAAACCAGACCTTCACCTGCAGAGAGAGAGAGAGAGAGAGAGAGAGAGAGAGACAGGTGTGTTAATACAGGTAGATAGTTAACTACAGGTGTGTTCATACAGGTAAAACCATCGCTACAGGTGTGTGTAAATACCAATAAAATCATCACTACTGGTTTGTGTTAATAAATCAGTACAGGTTTGTTAATACAGGTCAATAGTTAACTACAGGTGTGTTAATACAGGTACAATTATTACTGTGTTAATACAGGTAAAATCATTACTAGAGGTGTGTTAATACAGTTAAACACGTCACTACAGGTGTGTTAATACAGGTAAACACATACAGTACTACAGGTGTGTGTTAATACGTCACTACAGGTGTGTTAATACAGGTAAATACGTCACAACATATGTGTGTAAATAAATCACTACAGGTGTGTGTTTATACAGGTAATATATTCACCATCCAGGTAAATATATCAACACAGGTGTGTATTAATACAGTTAAGTACACCACTACATATGTGTGTTAATACAGGTAGATATATCACTACTGGTGTGTGTTAATACAGGTAGATATATCACTACAGGTGTGTGTTAATACAGGTAGATATATCACTACAGGTGTGTGTTAGTACAGGTAGATATATCACTACAGGTGTGTGTTTGTACAGGTAGATATATCACTACAGGTGTGTGTTAATACAGGTAGATAGATAACTACTGGTGTGTGTTAGTACAGGTAGATATATCACTACTGGTGTGTGTTAATACAGGTAGATAGATAACTACTGGTGTGTGTTAGTACAGGTAGATATATCACTACTGGTGTGTGTTAATACAGGTAGATAGATAACTACTGGTGTGTGTTAATACAGGTAGATAGATAACTACTGGTGTGTGTTAATACAGGTAGATATATCACTACAGGTGTGTTAATGTGTGTAAAATCATCACTACAGGTGTGTGTTTAAACAAGGGACATTATGATTACAGGTGTGTGTAAGGTAATGCAGGTAAAATCATCCCTACAGGTCAAATCATCATTACATGTGTGTGTGTGAAAACAGGTAAAAGTTTCCTGAGATGTTATGTTTTAAAATGTAAATGAGGCGTTATGTATTTCTAACTTTGAGTGAATTTAGGAGAGATCAACAGGTACAAATAGACAAAGTTATTAAAATAAACTCCTGAAAGTGGATTTAAATGTTTCCTTCCATTAGTCTGAAATAAAACATCCCATGGACGCAACATGTAGTGTGTCACCTTTGAGCTCTGCTATCAGCCACTGACAGCGATAAAGCTAGAAGTGATTTAATATCTGATAGCTGGTAAAACATGCGCCTGACTGTTAAAACACGTCCTGTCTGACACATTGTGCAACCTGAGATCTCGCTCTGCGCTCTGCCTCTCAATCTGAAGGACAGCTCGGCCCTCAGGTGAATCCTTAATATCTGACGGGTAATTATGATTCAATAATGACGGCTTAAACTCAGAAGGAAAGATATATGCCAGGGCCAGGGGGTTTCATTGTTTGGCTGCGCTCTGAGAAAAAATACAAATTGAAGTCAGACTTCTTGTTACTTTAAAAGCTTTGGTTTTAATTATCATACTGTGAACAGCTGGTGGTATTCGTATCATACAAATACATTTAGTTATAGTTCATAAAGGACTGGTACATTACAACAAATCAGCTGCAACATTTTGATTAAATAAGTTCTAACTGTTGATCGATAAGCCATTTAATGCAAAAAAGACACCTGAACGCACCATTTGCAGTTAATTAAACGACTGAAATCAACCCGTATGACTGTGTGTGTTTAATTGTGTTAATGTTTGTTTCTGCAGTCTAGTCCTCACTGAGAGAGAAATCAAATTGAAGTCAGACTGCTTGTTACTTTAGAGCACATGTGTCAAACTCAAGGCCCGGGGGCCAAATCAGGCCCTTGGTGGATTTAATTTCGGCCCGCAGGATAATGTTTAATTACTATTAGATCTGGCACGCCGGTATATTGCACGCACACCTTCACTCCATCCTGAGGGTCTCCTCAGCTCAGAGCCTGAGCCCAAACATTGATGACCTTGCACCCAAGATGAGATGCCAAGTATCTCACGACAACAGGGCATGTTTATTTTTTTCTTTGAGGGAAATAGTTTTGTTGAAGCTGTTGTTGGCCTGTGGTAAAATGATATCATAAGAATTGACTCTGGAAAAGCTGCAGATAGAGCCATAAGAAATGAATGCAACTGATTATTTAATGTTTAATGTTGTTTTTATAGGCAATAATTTAAGCTTTGTTAGTTCCAGGTTTAATATGTGCAATAAGTTCATTTCAATACGTTTTGCAATAAACATTGAACCAGTCCGGCCCTCGACTAGTACCCATTTTTTTATTTTGGCCCACTGTGTATTTGACTTTGACCCCCCTGGTTTAGAAGCTTTGGTTTTAATTCTCATAATGTGTAAAGCGTGTGGTATTTGCATTTTACATGGTTTAAATAAATAATTATGATTTTTTTTTAAATGTGTACATTGTTGTGTTACTGTAGTGACTTGTAAATTGCTTGACGGGGTGTAAAAAGTGTTTTGAATGTTAAATATGACGTCATCTAAACTAACAGAAAGGTAGTCCAGTGGTGGATCATTTAAAAAAAAAAAAAAAGCTTTATTTTTAGATTAAAAAAAAGGTGAATATCATGAAGTGAAAAGCTTTGTTAATTAGTTCTAGACTGTGTAAAGCATTGATAAATGAGTATTAACATTACTAGTCATTAAACGGATTAATAAAATTACATATATAGTTATTCAAACATTAAGGATTATTAATAGATCTTCTATTCGCACTCATTCCTCTCTGCGGCGGATTCAGCTAAATACTTTTCTTCCACTCAGCCGTGAAAATAAAGTTGACGTCTGTTTATTAAAGTTTTGAAACAGTTGTTGGCTGAAGTAGCTCGTCAGTGATTGCAGAAGTGACTAATCCCTCCTGATTGATGGATTATGTCTCTGCAGTGAGATCATAAAGATCCCAGGTGATTCACTGGCGTCAGGACTCGCGTCTCCGAAGCAACGCAGCAAAAACACCCCAATCAGCGCTGACTAACCAACGCTCACTTCCTGTCAGCTGGAGCCCCGCCAGGCGCCTGTGTCGTCACCGTGGAAAACTATGAGTCTGACTGACAGCTGTTGAGCAAGGCAGCGGCAGAGGAACCGCACGCCCATGAACTCAAGATAACTATTAGAACTAATGATAGTGAAGGTGAAGTGTGTGTGTCTCAGAAAGTACGAACACAGTCAGATATTTATTCTATGAATTCATAAAGATATACTGAGACTTTCCTTCTGACCTTTTGAAATACTTTGACTTCTTATGACATACCGTCAGTTACCCATGATGCACTCCACCCTCTCCTCAGTTACCCATGATGCCCTCCACCCTCTCCTCAGTTACCCATGATGCCCTCCTCCCTCTCCTCAGTTACCCATGATGCCCTCCCCTCCATCCTCTCCTCAGTTACCCATGATGCCCTCCACCCTCTCCTCAGTTACCCATGATGCCCTCCACCCTCTCCTCAGTTACCCATGATGCCCTCCTCCCTCTCCTCAGTTAACCATGATGCCCTCCAGCTCCATCCTCTCCTCAGTTACCCATGATGCCCCCCTCATTTCCCCATGATGCTCTCCTCAGTTACCCATGATGCCCTCCTCCCCCCCTCAGTTTCCCATGGCACCCACCTGAGTCTCTGTGAGGCAGAGTGTGCTCGCCAGCTGTTTCCTCTCGACTCCGACCACGTAGTGATTTTTCTCGAAGGCTCGCTCCAGACGCAGCAGCTGAGACGGAGAGAACGCCGTCCGGATGCGTTTGGGTTTCCTGGAGAACGGGCCGTGCAGAAGCATGTTCTCCGGACTGCCGTCTTCCCCTGAACACAACACGGGGGGTTAACACTCTGAGATACCAAGCATTCGAGTACTGACTCAACTCTGTGACAATAAAGGTCCTGCATTCAAAACCTCACTGAAGTAAACATATTAAGAGTGCATTAAAGAATAATAAAATGACTTAAAGCAAATACATACATAAAGAAACAACAAACAAATATAATATACACATGAATAAATGACGATGCTTATACATTTGCCATATTCTTCTATTCTTCAAAACAAAAAACGTAACTTTATAGATTTGTTAGAATGCGTGGAAAAAGGTAGGACCCAAATGCAGAATACAAAAAAAGGTAAACAGGTCTAGGAACAAAAAGTGAGCTTTAATTTAAGAGCTGATGAACAAAAACATGGCATGAAACACACAGTTAGCACAAGGTAGCAACAACACACAAACTGACCAACATGGAGGGAGACAATGAACCGACAAGGAACACAGGGGAAGACAAGACTAAATACACAGAGGGGTAATCACAGGACAAGACACAGCTGGGTAAGGGAAACACAAGGGCAACAGGTGAACACAAAAAGACAATCAGACACAGGAAGGAAGACAAGACACAGGGAGAACAGAATTGCGACATAACACCCATAAAAAGACAGAAAAAACTGAAATCGTGACATAACACTAGGATCATGGCAACATTTCTATAACTGCATGGTTTTTATTAAGTTACATATTTTTCCTTATTTTATCTTGCTTTATTTTGTTAACATGTTGCAAAGTTTTTATTTACCAAAAAAACATGCAGAGAGAAATAAAACAAAAAAAATAAAATTGTGTTTTGTTTTATTTAAACACATAAAATGTCATAAAACTGATCCTCACAGCGTGCCATGAGACACGAAGAGACGTGTGTGTGTGTGTGTGTGTGTGTGTGTGTGTGTGTGTGTGTGTGTGTGTGTGTGTGTGTGTGTGTGTGTGTGTGTTTCGATCTGCAGTTACACTGCAGACTAAAGCCTGACTCAACATTTTACCACAAACTCGATGACGTAATTGCAACCAAATTAAAAAAAGCCCAGTCCCGTTTTCTACTCAGAAATATATCTAAATATCTTTTTAGAAATATTTATCATTAGTTTTTTTCAGTTTTTGTCTTGAAGCTCAAAGCCTTTGGTGATTTTTAACACAATTATTTCTCATATTATTTGATCTTTTGTTCGTTACAATTTGTATTATTAATTAATACATTTTTTGTATAAAATACATTAGAGTGAAATCACGTTCATTATTATTATAAATTCATATGTTTTTGCCACTTGTGTAGGTCATTCACTCATTATCTTGTTTCTTAAATTTAGTTTTGTTTCTTTATAACCTGAATATACTTTGGTTTTAAACAAAAGAAGGACGTGCTGACATGTGGTGGACATTTTTTATTAGCTTTAGGTTAGAAAACTAATGCTAGTGATCAAAATAAGGCAAAATTAAAACGTTTCTTGGTTATTAAATGTATTAAATAAAACAGAAATACATTTATTACTCTAATATGTTTAATTGAAGTAACTTCGAACTTACAGTAAAATAAAAGTATTGCTGTTTTCCACCTGTGCTAACACAAAGAGCGTGCATCGTTACCTTTGCATACCTAAGAACATTTTCCTGCTAACACACGAGTGAAATATTATCCGCAGGTCTTTATAAAAGAACGTTTTCCCATGTGGGTTCGTCTCATTTTCCTGAAGTGTTTGAGGGATTTGATTTTTTATCGCAGGAGCGAGAAGCTAATTTGTTTATCGGACGCGTTGCCGTGCCGTAAATCTGTCGGTAAAAAACGAACGTTGAGTTTCTCTTTCAACCCAAACCCACATTCAACGTCTGCTTTTAATTCTCTGTTAAACCTTCACAATAATATTTTACATAAAAACAAATGTTTGCACGAGTGAAAAGAGTCGTAGGCGCCGCCGTCACGTCGCACGCAAAAGAGTCGGTTAGCCGAAAACAATGATGGCGTGTGACAAGAGAAGAAGAACGATCTGCGCTCACGCCTTTTAGCCAACGTTAGCATCGGAGGATTTTATTCATATGCAAAGTCGCAGACGGGAGCCTCGGCTTGCAAATGTGACGGTTGATTTCTGTTGAAGGTCAAACAACACGAGACGATGCTTTAATGTCAAAATTGGCATCGAGTTACCGAGCGTTTTGCAAGAGCTAATGCATGGAAATACAACAACACCAATAAATGAGATGTTGGTGGAAAAGTTTATACGTTAGACTAAAAGAGGCAAACTGCGCAAGGAGAAAAAACGTCTGTAGTAAATCTATTTATTATTTAGTCGATATATTTTCCATCTTATGTTAACCATTTGATTTACTCTACTATTATCAATGTTACCTATCTTTTCTAGGGTCTTTTTTGCCAAATGTTGTTCATTTTGCTCAGTTTTTTTATTTGTATTTTCTTTATTTCTCCATTTATAATTTATTAGATTACAATTGTGAGGAATTAAACCCTCTGTAATGGTCTCTCACGCAGAGCACACAGCACACACAGTGAAATGTGTTCTCTGCTTTTAACCCATCGTAGTACCAGGAGTCTATCACTAGGAGCAGTGGGCAGCTATTGTACAGCGCCCGGGGAGCCATGAGAGTGAGGGGGGAAGGGGGATGTCCAGTGTCTTGCTCAAGGGCACCACGGCAGGGCCCAGGGACCCTGATGTAAACAAAACGAAAGTCTTTCTCTGGTCTGCATCCCCTTAACAATTGTATGTTTTGAGCTGTACTGTACTGTACCCAATATACAAGCTGTTAATAAACTTTTCAATCAATCAATCAATCAATCCAAGTAGCAGTCCACACTCCATATTTAGGTCTGGTCGGAGACTTGAACCGCCGACCCTCCGGCTCACAGTCCACTCCTGACTGAGCCACTGCCACTGTACTCTGCTTTGCACATCGCTCTGACAATTTCGTATATCTCCAAAATACTACAACTTCTTAAAGTGTTTTTACTTTCATTTGCCATGTTTTCTTTTCATTTTTGTATTTTTTATAATTGTATTTATTATTTTATTTAAATATTTAATTATAACAAGTTTTAGCTCTTATTTTTCCATTTGTATTGATCTCACTGAGTTCATGAATGCACCATTTCACACAAAGGTTATTCCTTGTTTGATGTGAAAATGGAGAGCAATTATCTTGATTCTGATTCAAACTGAGCTGCTGGGGAGAGATAATGAAACGCCTGAGATTTGTTTAAAAGGTGCTTTTAGAGCGGTCTGTAATGACCTGTAGTTTGAAGGTTTAACAGCAGGTAATGACACCGTGCAGCAGTAATGACAGTAGAGACTCCTTCACAACAACAACAACAACAAAAACGATAGAAACATGTTCTATTTCTCCTTGGAAGCAAAAGCAGCTGCAGAGGTCATGTTTTGGGGTTTCTTGATATGTAGAAGTGAACTCGTGTGTTCGAACTTCATATACTTAACCCTTATGTTGTGTTGGGGTCTCCCGTGACCCGTTTCAAGTTCAAATCATATAATAGCTACGCTCTAGTTTGTTGTATCTGAACAAGGCTTCATGATATCCTCCACAACAGATATATAAACACTACAAAACTGATTTTTATATTTTAGCCAAGTCTGAAGGTCTCTTTGGTGTTGGGGTCTGGGGAGACCCAGCAGCATGCTGTGGGTGAGTCAGGGTCAAATTTGGCCCAATCAAGATTCATCTTTGACTTTAGACCCCCTCCCCGCCCCCTTCATCTACTGTAACAATAATTTTTCCCAACATGCACCTGGTCTCCCGTCCCTCTGCCCCCCTCCCCCCACAGGAACTCCACCTTTCTCAAAGAATATGTACACTAACACTTGAACCTGAACACACACATGCACGTGTGCAATATGTGGTGTAATGTGTTTTGGGGCCATACAATTACAACAGGATTGTACGGTTATGAATGCATTGTTATGATGTAATTACACCAATATTGGATGATAGTATTTTTTTTTTTTTTCTTGGACTGAGATAAATCATGGGTGAAAATGTACCCGCGAACACCATGAACGGTAACAGCTTTCGAACACAACACAAGGCTTAACACACACAAGACCATCTCAATATCTATATTGATATTTCCCTTTCTGCTTACCTAATCCTGAAACATTATTTAAAAACAACATGTTTAAATTATATTAAACGTCAATCTGATTGATTTGGTATCTTTGGAGACTTAGCAAATTGGACATAAAAAATGGTGTCAAAAATGTGTGAATAATGCCTGAACTTTGTGCGGGGAGAAAATGTTTCAACAAAGCAACATTTTCAGAAAAATAAAAGCCAAAAATGTATTTTATGCATTGCATGAAAACTTGCAAATAAGTTTAGTATCATTGGAAACCTCTGACTTTCTTTGAACACATGTTTGAACTGTTGTATGTGAGCTTTAAAGAAGTTCAAACAGTCAGATATTTTACAATTTTAGATACAAAAATCTAAAAAGATCCAAATCTAAGAGTATACAGCAAATGAGTGTGTGTGTGTGTGTGTGTGTGTGTGTGTGTGTGTGTGTGTGTGTGTGTGTGTGTGTGTGTGTGTGTGTGTGTATTCAAACGAAGGCTTTACTTTAACAGAAGGACAAGAAGACGCACCAAGTAAATACAAATTGGCAGTTGGAAACACGACACTTGATTGACAGCAAGATTAACCAATCAGTGTGTGTGTTGTCACATTGTCTGTGTCAATAAAGCTTGTTTGAATTGAGCCACTATGTAAACTGATAACAATTTAGTTATTTATTGAAAACGGACACACTTTAAAGCTCCTGATTAAGGGTTTAATAGGAAAGTTTTAATGATGATTTTCAATATTCATATCCCAAAAAGATTCAAAAATAGTGAGAAAGTCAACAAAAAGTGTGGAGAAGATTGGAGCTGGACTGTTTCCCTTCCTCCAGTTCGTATTTTGTGATCAAATAAAAAACGGACTACGTGTTTGAGATCCAATTCAACAGAGCTGCAGAGTCCAATCATC